AAATATAAATTTAGGATAATTTAAATCTTAATAATCCCCTAAATAGCAGGGCCTTTCCCCCCCAATGTATTAAGAAGGAAATTAAACAAATTTATGATCCTATATAATAAAGAGCTAATATAGTAATTAGGCCAAACAGCAGAACAACCATCTGGATGACTTTCTGGACAAAGCCAGAGCTGCGAGGGCCGAGCCCCTTGCACTAATTTCATGAACTGGGCCTCTAATGTTATTATAAATACCCTGTTTCCCCGAAAATAAGACAGTGTCTTATATTAATTTTTGCTCCCAAAGATGCCCTAGGTCTTATTTTCAGGGGATGTCTTATTTTTCCATGAAGAAGAATACGGTACACATTTATTGTTAAATGAAAATAAAGGAAATTTATTACCTGTATACGGTACGGTAGTACGGTAGTTGTCAACACAAACCAGACAAACTGTGAATCCTACAGTATCAAGAATTTACTCATTTATTCAATGACAATCATGTCATCATCTTCTGGAACATCATCATAACAATCCAATTCCTGAATTTCCTGGTGAATTTCTTATGACTCCATTTCTTTCAGAATCAGTGGACCAAATCTCTCATGTTTACCCTAGGGGGGGGGGGGGCTTATTTTCGGGGGATGCCTTATATTTCACTCAGAAGGAAACCTGTAAGTAGGTCTTATTTTCGGAGGATGTCTTATTTTCGGGGAAATACAGTAGCAAGTTAAGGCAACTGATTAAATTTTTAAATTTAGACCTATTTATGGGTAATATTATGAGGGAACAGTATTATTTTATTAATCTTACTAGGGGCCAAGTGCACTAATTCCTGCACCTTGAAAGGAACTGTGGGCCACAAGCCTGCAGTAGGCACAGGAGCAGGTCTCAGCCCATCCTCTACATCCCCACCTGGTTCCTCCTGCCGTGACCCTGGTTCCCTGTCTGCTGGCAGCCCCACTCCCGCCCCTGCTGCTCCCAGCTCCTAGTCACACATGCTGATGGTGCAGAGCAATTGAGGCCAGCACCGTCAATGGGTGCAAACTGTGGCTGCTGCCCTGATGGCCCCGCAGGAGCACAGGGAGGTGGAGAAGCTCTCAGGGGCAATCAGGCCAGCAGCTGCTATTCACACCCTCTGACAATGCCAAGTTATCAAACTGCGGTTGGGTGTCAGCAGGGAGTGTGAGCAGGGCCAGCACTGGCAGCAGGTGTGAGTGCCTGGTGGGACTGCAGCATGCAGGAGCAAATAATTTTCGGTAAGTACCAGAGGCTTGCCCTGATGACAGCACCCAGTACCCCTCCTTGGTCTGGTGCTCCAACTCATCTGCTCCACCATCCTGCCAAGTTCCACACATGCCCCCTGGTAGTCAGTGCACTTCCTAGTGACCAGTTGTTTGGTTGTTTCCCCTGTTCGGTCTATTTACATAATAGGATTAGATAGATAGATAGATAGATAGATAGATAGATAGATAGATAGATAGAGATATATGATTTTCTCTTCTGTAGTCTCTGGTTATGGCTGCAAATATCTGTTCTCATGTTAAAAACAATTTCAGGGGTGAGATTAAGGGCCTGTAGTTTAAGATCATTAGAGACTTAAGTTACAACTTTCTACATTTATTAAAAGTTAAGGGGTAGAGGTAAACACCTAACCGCAGCCGCACACAACAATTTTAATGGAATACAACTAAAATATAAAATGGACATTGCCCAGAGCTACAGGAAGTTGACTGACTGAAAATTCTACAACAAGAAGGAAAGAGAAAACCAGAAGGAAAATCAGAGGAGCTGAAAAAGCCTAAGGTACGGAGACATGCTGCACACGTGCGCGCTGAGAGGATGGAGCAGGAGAGGAGGAGAAGGCTGGGTGCCTGCCTGGTGTTCCCTAGCAGGAAGGAAATAAAAGCCCAGGCCTGGGCTGAACCCCAGAACCGGCAGCACTGGGCCCCAGTTCTGGGCCAGACCCTGGGGACCCAAGCTCAGGCAGGGGGAGATGGTGCTGTGAGGCGGAATCCCGGGGGAGCGGCGAAAGGCGGAGCCCCCGGATTCGCGCACATTGGGCACAGAGGAAGGAATGTTGACTCTGATGCTAGAATGCCCTGGCGGGAAGGAAACAAGAGCTCTGGCCGTGCTAGGTCCCAGTTCCGACTGCTCTGAACCCCAGTTCTAGGCCAGACTCAGGGGACCCAGGCTCAAACAGAGGGAGACTGGGCTGTGAGTCAGAGTCCCAGGGGAGCGGTGAAAGACAGAGCCCCGGGAATCGCACACATTGCGCACAGAAGACAGTCTGTTGACTCTGATGCTTGACTCCCGGAGCAGGAAGGAGAAAAAAGTTCCAGACTGGAAGAAATGTGAGGAGGAGCAGGAGCTGTTCCCAGACACTGGCCAGCCGGGCACCGGCAAGAAGCCGGGGGACGGGGCCCGTGGGCTGGGGGGGAGAGTGCCGCTGGGCCCTCAACCGCTGATTGCGGGCCACGAAGCCTCACAGGAGGCCGCGGAGAACAAAGGGTGCCGCAGGCCAGCCTGCTGAGCTTCCAGGACGAGGAGGAAGAAACCGAAGAAGTTTTCAATGTGAAGAAATCAAGTTATAGCAAAAGATAGTAAAATTACTTAATACAAAGAAGATCTTAAAAAATGGAAGACTAAGTCAGAACTCAACTCAGCAGCCAACATTGCAACATAAATGTGTTTTAAAAAAAGGGCAGAATGTTGGAACGGCAGTGGCCAGGCCCAGAGTGGCCAGGCACAAGGCAGTGGCAGCCGGGCCCGGAGCAGCAGCAGCCAGGCCAGGAGCAGCCAGACCTGAGGCAGTGGCAGCCAGGCCTGGGGCGGAGGCGGCCAAGCCCAGGGTGGCCAGGCCCAGAATACCTGGGCCCGGAGCAGCCGGGCCCGGAGCAGCCGGGCCCAGAGCAGCCAGGTTGGGAGCAGCCAGGCCCAGAGCAGCAGCAACCAAGCCCGGAGCAGCCACGTCGGGAGCGGCCAGGCCTGGAGTTGCTGGGCCCTGAGCAGCCGGGCCCAGAGCAGCTGAGTCAGGAGCAGCCGGTCCCAGAACAGCAGCAACCAAGCCTGGAGTGGGTTAGCCAGGTCAGGAACGGCCAGGCCCGGTGCTGCTGGGCCCAAAACAGCCAGGTCGGGAGCAGCCAGGCCCGGAGCAGCAGCACCCAGGCCGGGAGCGGCAGTGGCCAGACCCGGAGAAGCAGGTTGTGGAGCGGACAAGAGCAACAGAGGCCAGGCCCGGAATAGCTCACTCCTCACCTGCCCATGCCCAGGGCTGCCTCTCAGACATGGCTGGAAACTTTCACGGGAACTTGAGGGTCTGCTGAATCAAGTGATGAAGGCTTACATCTGGATGTGTTGAGTTATTATAGCGCTGGGGTGTTGATCTGTGAATGCCTTGTGTGGGGTCTGGATGAGGTTGGTTGATCTATTTGGAAATGTCTTTTGTGTGAAGTGTATCCTTGGGCATGTGGAGGTATTATTGATTTGAGAAAATGCTAAGTAACTGATTTACTATCTGAAAAATTTAAAGTTCTGAAAGTTTAAGGTCTCTTGCCAAAAAGAGGTTTTAAAGCTAACACCTTAATTTTAATGGAGAAAGGGAAGGACAAGCCCTTCCCACCCAGAACAGGTAATCCAATTCCAATCAGCAGCTATCTTTAAACAATGTGTCCATTTACACTTGAATGGCTACACCTTTTGATAGCCTAAGGGCAACCAAACAAGTTTGCTTCTCAATGTAAACAAGTTTGCTTCTCAATTCCCAGGGCAGAAAAAAACAAGATTTAAAATTATTAGATTTTAAAATTTATTCTTAGAAATGTAAAAGTTTATTGATTTAAAAAAACACACACAACAACAACAAAAAGGAGATTGAAAAACCTGATGAACAATATTAGCTGTTGATTGTAGTAGAGTCGGAGATACGGGAGGGGAGTGGGCTGACAGTTATGGGAGGGAAAAGGAGGAGTGGTGGATGCCGGAAGAGACTGAACATAAACTGTGCACCTATGGATGAGGACAATGGGGGGTGGGAAGGGGGTGGAGGCTGGAGTGGGAACCTGGTGGAGGAGGGAAGAAATGAGGAACCTTTGTAATAATATGAACAATAAAGATTGATTTAAATTAAAAAAAAAAAAGAGTTAAGGGGTAAATCTGGTGTAAGAAGTGGACAGAGCTGAAATACCTAGTGTTACACTTTGCATCTGAGTAAACTATACAAGTAAGGGATGTAAACTAGAATTCCCAAGCTTTATTCAACAGAAGTTAACAAAAACTCAAAAGATCTCCATGCCATAATAATTGAAAGGCATGTTATCTTTAGAAAATGAAGATTTATTAGGATTGGGAAGAATGGAACATAGAAAACTATGTAAAAATCAGGAAGCATTTGCTCAAACCACTATAATATTTTATTAGTGTGTAACAATAATTTGATCTTGATGGCAGGCAAATAAGATATAACAGTATTTTTTCTCCTTGTATCTCATGCTTATTAGGAAAATGGAGGTTTTTAGTCTAACAGTGTTTTCAAGCATGGACTTTTTGGAAACAGATTTTCTATTAAGTCCTGGCTTTCACTATTTACCAACTGTGTGACTCTAGGCAAGATACTTAGTCTCTTTTCTCCTCAGTTCCCTCATCTGTATAATGGGATAACAGTAGTATAATGGTTAATAATAGTATACCCAACTTAGAGTTATGATGATTCAGGGAGTTATACATTTATAGCTTTTAGAGCCAGATCTCTCATACGATGCTAAATAACTGCAGACATCAGAATTTTAGAAAATTGACGAAGATTACACTATTCAAAAAAAAAAAAGTAAATAATAAAAAAGCAGTTCTGTTAATCAAGCATCAGCGTTTTTTTAGACATTGGTGGTGGTGGGCACATCCTATGCAATTACTTTAGAAACAATCTGCCCTTGTTTTACAGAAAACTAAAAATGATACTCTTGAAATCTTATAATCTCTTACAACTTTTACTATTAGGAGTTCTCCTTCAGACTGTTACATTTTCCCCCTTTGCTTGGATCCTGACTTTCTCTGTCCTGGTTTATACTGGCTCTGCTTCTTCCGACAGCATCCTGATGCCAGGATGACTATACAGCAGCAAAGAAAGAGGACAGAGGTACAAAGGGCCGCAGGAACCAGCCACGTCTTTGAAATCACAGATGTCCCATCCGGTGTCTTGTCTTCGTTCTCAGATGTGTGATTCCTGCTGTTGTGCCCTTTGGTTTTGTTCAGGAACTGCTTGCTGCTGTTGAGTCGGGATGGAATGGGCATATGAGAAAGTTTTGTGTCTATGGGCACAAAGAAAGGAGAAATAGTCTTGTTATCTGGATTGCTGATGAAATCAGCACTGCGTGACACCTTATTTATTTTTGTGACAATGGAACCATTCAGGGATATGAATCTTGCCCAAGAATCTGTGGTTAATTCCTCGGAATACCTGGTACTGGTTGCGTTAACCAACTCTTGATGTGTGGTTAATGATGGAGCCTCTATTGATGGTAGCATTTGATTTATCATGGTGGTTTGTTGTTTATCTAAATTCGTAGCTTTTAGATTTCTTAATCTGTCCCATCTATCAGATGAAGAACGGGTATTTAGATATGTGGGAGGTGGTTGTCCAAAAACCAGCAAATCTGGATCTATACCTGAAAGATAAATAAGGCATTATTCATGTTATTTTTATTTTAAAAGAAAGGACCATATTCCTGGCTGGTATGGCTTAGCGATTGAGCTTCAACCCAGGAAGAAAGAGGTGACCAGTTTGATTCCCTATGAGGGCACATGCCCAGTTGCTGGCTCGATCACAGCAGAGGTGTGTGCAGGAGGCAGCTAATGGATGATATTCCTCTCGCATCGATGTTTCTATCTCTCTCCCTCTCCCTCCTCTTTCTGTAAAAATCAATAAAACTTTTTTTTTTTTTTTTTTTTTTTAAAGAAAGGACCATAAAATACAGATTGGAGTAGTCTCAGGTTTTGCTGGTATGAGTTATTGAACTAAGATAATTGCTTACTTCTGGAAGGCTTAGAAACATACTGGCCATATTTGAATTTATCTTAACTTTCCAGAGCATTTCCTGTTATAAACAGATATGGCTATATCATGGAGAGTACTTCCTGTCTGCCAGTGCTTTGGGGCAACAATGCTGAGTGTTAGTGCAAGAGCTACAAAAACAGTAACCATTTGAGAAATAGAGCACTTTTAAGAAACCAAGTAGGTCCTGACAACGACATAGCTCAGTGGTTGAGTATTGATCCATGAGCCAGGAGTTCACAGTTCAATTCCCAGGCAGGTCACATGCCAATTTGGGAGCTCCATCCCTAATAGGGGGTGTGCGGGAGGCAGCCCATCAATGATTTTCTCTTATCATTGATGTTTCTAACTCTCACTCTCTCTGAAATCAATAAAAACATTTTTTAAAATAGGCCCTAAGCAGTGTAACTATATTCAAATCATGAGCGAGCAAAACCCTACATTTCATCTCTATCCAGTGCCTGAGGGTCCTGATTTTGTCTAAAGTATTTTCTCTTATTTTGTAAACTAACTCCTTTTCTTCTGACTTCAGACCAGTGTAAATATTGCTTTGACTTTAAAAGGGAAGAAAAAACTCTGAGCAACTTTCCAATAGTCCCTGATAGCAATCTTCCTCTCTGTACCCTTCTTGTCTCTTTTCCTCCCTCTCCCCCACCTTCCCCAAAGATTCCTATATCCATTTCCTTCATTTCTGACTTTAGTTTTTGCCACCTTGCTTCTATCCTAATTATTCTGGCAAAATTATGCTTCTGAGGTTATCAGTAGTTTCTCGTGTCCTCATCACCTGTTTCATTGCTTTGGCTTCCCTCCTGTCCTTGATATTGCTGGCCACTCTTTTTTAAAAAATCCTTCCATGACTTTCATGAGAGTGCCTGCCTCTCATTCCCCTCACTTCCCCCCCATTCTTTTGCTGATTCTTTTCTTGGCCCCAACTGGTGGTACACTTTTCATAACCTTTAGTTCTTGGTCTTGCGCTGTATTTTCTCTTCATCTCATACCCATTCCAGCGAGACTGTTCTCATCAACTGTCACCACTGCAATGATAGCACTGGAACCCACTTGCCAGTTTCCTCTCTCTCCTGAGTTCTCACCTCATTTCTCCTGTGTCTGCTGCATCTCTGCACATTCCCAAAGCCAGCGTCATTTTGTCTGCCTCTGTCTGACACAGTAGCTTCTTCATTCTAGCATCACTCCTGGTGGAATCTGCCAGCCAAGTGATTCCTCTCTTCCTATATCGAAAAAGTAACTAATGCTCTCCAATTCCTCCTTCTCAACATGCTGGTCGCCATCCCTCCTCATCATTGCACCTCCCATGACCTTGTCTGGATCCACAGCCTCCCTGACTGCATTGTCTAACCTGCATCCTGCATAGTTTTCCTAGGCTCAGAGCACCAGACACCTCTTTAATGACGGCATTTTATCACTAAGTACCTTTTCTGATCCTACTCCGCCCACCGCCCTTCTGTTACCTGGCCTACCCCACCTTCCCCTTATTGTCCGTGCAGCCCCAAATGTGCCCTGTGGTAGCACACCAGGGTTCTTACTTCCCAGAGGTGTGATGCAGAACTCCTTGTCCTGGCTCTTCCTTGAAACTTCTCAATTACCTAGCTTGCTTTAGTCTCCCCTTCTTTTGAGCCTTTGTACTTATAAGACTTGTTGCACCAACTAGATTTTTAAAAATTTAATTTAATGGGGTGACATTCGTCAGCCTGATCATATACAACTAGATTTTTAAGGAGCTTGAAGGCAGATACATGCTGCAGTCTTCTGCAATGTTGAGCACAGCCTGCACATCGATAAATTACCTCCTTTGTATTTTGATGATAAAAACCTTTTCTTTTTTTATGTTCATTAATTTGCACCTGAGATGGTTATATACATGGACAAAGGACCCTTAACATTTTTTTTCTAAAATATACATTAGGAGCAATGATATGTTAATATATGTAAGCCTTGGTGCACTCATTGCCCCTGACATCTGCCTTGGTAGAGTCCGTGAATGCGGACCCCAGAACTGCCATTTAGCCTCTTTCATTTCTAGTGGTTCCCTCAGTCACAGCGGTAGAAATGCCTGCCTACGTTGGCTCCTGATGGCTCGTGTGATCAATGAAATACGATGGTAACCTCTTGTTCAATCACTTGATTTGTTTATCACTGAGATAAACTCTTCATTGCTGAACTTGTCATTGCTGAACTTGTCAAACTGAAGGGAATTTTCCTTTTAGTTTTCTATCCGGCATGCTAAAAACCTGTCTTGAGTGTCCATAGTTGACTGAAAAATAATGATTTAGGGATTTCTTTGTGACTGTTGCCAACCAGTTTCTATGTTGCGTGCCTTTAGTAGGATATTACCAATATTCCTCAAAATACAAACAGAACATAGATCATTACCTTCCGTCACGTTATATAAAATGGCACTGGTTCCAGGCTCCAATATGCAGCTTTCCAGCGTCGGGCAGTGGATATGGAGGCAGTTGACATTGTCGTGCATAGGATCGTGGTAGAAGACAGCCAAGTTACAGGCAACTGGAAGGGAACAGGCAAAGTACCTTTGCAATGGTCCTGGCTTCTGCCCCTTTGATGAGCTCTGAGAACATATTTCTTTTAAGAACATCGGATTCACATGTGAACTATAATAATCGTCCTTTTAAAAGAAAACACCTACTGATTTCTTCTAAGTCATCTTTCATATATTCCCTCACACACTAGAATTCTTTCCCAATCCCATGAAAAATTCACTTGGCTGCAGAAACCTCTGAGGAGGTTTATATTCAGATTTCTAGGCACAATAGTCCTCTGGGAATGCTAAAGTACTGGAGTTCACCAGAGAAAGAAATAGGAAAATGAAGTGACAACTACTGTATCAAAAGAGGAAATAACAGAAAGGGCAAAGATAGTAATGACTACATTACTGGGAGGGGCCAGATGGCGGGAAGGCAGCTGGCCTTGACCCTGACTGCAGGTGTGTTCTGGCCCTATGGTGCAAAAGCACATCCAGTGAACAGCACAATCTGTGTCTTTTGGGAGCAGAGAGAGAAGGATGTCAGCATTTGGATCTTAGCAAGTTCCCTTATGTTCAGAGGTAAATGGATGCCATGAGAAAATGCTGAGAAGGTACTGCCTCCCCCCTTCCCCCCCCCCCCGCCACCGCTCCCCCCCCCCCCCCCGCCCCTGTGAAGGTGCTGGAATTAGAAGCATCTCTTAGGAGTGCATTACTTGCTCATATTCTCTCCCTTTTTCTAAGTAAGATTACTCCTTAAAATATGATGGCATATGATGGAAAACCTAAAGTCGTATTTGTTGAATGCAGATCTTCAGTCTGTCTTCCCTAACGTGCAACACGTATTGTATTTTCCCTGCTGCTGTGGATTGGAAACATTTGATGGGGAATATCTACTGATCAAAAGGTATCATCTTCTCTAATAAAGTAAGATTACAGAGCCACGGTGTACTATGACCAGACCTCAGTGATGCCGAGAGCTGCTGTGGAATTGCTGTTGCTGAACCTGTACTCCTGTGTAAGGTTATCTGTGGGAGATGCCTGCCCCTGTTACTTCTGGGACACCCATGTTTCTGCACTCTGTACCTTTCCAGTAGGAGGAAGAATTGGACGGAAGTCAGTAATACAGCTCTAGCTGGTTTGGCTCTATGACTAGAGCATCAACATGTGGATTGAAGGATCCAGGGTTCGATTCCAGTTAATGGCACATGCCCGGGGTTGTGGACTATCATCAGTAGGGAACATGCAAGAATCTCTCTGTCCTCCCTTCCTTTCTGAAGTCAATAAAAATATATTTTTAAAATAAGTCATTAATACATTGCTAATGCATTATAGATTACAAACACATTCCCTAAGGCTGTGCTGTAAAGCCTAAAGGAAAGGAATAACAAATATCCAACTTTAGACGTTAAATTTCTGATAGGAAAATGGATGCTGTAAGGAACAGTTTGTACATCTTCATGTACATTTGGGAGTCCCCTCTGAGCAGGTTTGCTATTGCAGGATTGTGGTGTTTTTAAGTTCTGGCTTCCAGCTGGAAACTGGAAGATGTGTGTGTGCCCTTTCTTCTGGAGAAAGGCAGTCACAACTTGGGAGCCACAGGATGCTTCCTGGAACTCGACTGGATGCCTGTAGTGTCCTGAAGATCCAGAGGCCACGGCTGCCCTCGTGTTCAGAGGTAAATTGATGCCAGGAGAAAATGCAGAGAAGATATGCCCTCTCCCACAGCCTGTCAGTAACAGTGTCGGGAGTTAGAAGAATCTCTAAGGTGAAAATCTGGATGCTAGCCAGTTTGGCTCAGTGGATAGAGCATTGGCCTGTGGACATAAAGGTCCTGGGTTTGGTTCCGGTCAAGGGCACAAGCCTGGATTGTGGGCTTGATCTCCAGTAGGGGGTGTGCAGGAGGCAGGAGACAGGAGGCAGCCAATCAGTTACTCTCTTTCATCACTGATGTTTCTATCTCTCCCTCTTCCTTCATCTCTGAAATAAGTAAATATATACATACATATACATACATATATATACACATATACATACACACACATATATATATACATATATATATATATATATATATGTGGCATAGGAGGGGATACCTATATTTAAAAAGAAAAAACTGGGTTGGCTATCTTTTCAAAATATTTCCCTTTAATAAATTAATTTCTCTCATCTGTGCCTGATTAACTTCTGAGGACTTAGCCTATGACAGCATCACATACTGCAGTCTTTTGACAGTTTTTATTATTTTTTTTATTTTTTGACAGTTAGTTTAGATTCTCCAAGTAACTCTAATTTGCATCCCCAAAATCTTACATGCATAATTGAATAGGAGGCATTGGCAATTAATAAGTCAGAATCAAATCACGGAAAGAAAGTGTGGGGCAGCCAAGAGAAATAATTTAAAATGGTGTGTTGCTTTGTTGCTTCTTTCTAAGTAGCTTTAACATCTTGGAAGAATGAAAAATAAATGAAAGAAGTCTTTAGAAAATTGTAACTTAAAATTCTGTAACAATGAAATATTTTCCTAAGTACAGGCTTGGGCATGTTCTATGGATGATGTTAAACCCTAATTCTGGATTGCAGACAAAACATATCTGTTAGGATATTTTGAAAATTAATCTCTCTCTTCTTTCTTCCTTTTCTTTTTGTTTTTCTACTTGACATATATCTCCCTATTTGTTTCAAAATATGAATCCAATTTAAATCCCTGCTTAATACAGCCCACATTTGGTCAACACAAGCAAACACATTTAAAATTTTTGAACTGCTACCAATATCACCAGAAGAATTTTGAAAAGGAAATTATTATAAATATTTGTGACATTAAATATAGGAATATTGTTAGTAGACACTTGGAGAAATATTTTCACTTAGCACTTTAGTGAAGGAAGAGGATTCTCTGTCACTTGTAGATGCCATAGCATTTGGGGTCATGGCTAGCTTTGTAAAGCAAGCCTACACTGTCCCAAATGACAGTCTCCATGTATCTCCGTCCCCCCTCCTCCCCCTCATCTCAGGGCATCTTACCTAGCTGTCTTCAACTGTTCACTGGGCCCTCTGCCCAGGACTTCTTACTTAGGTCTTCATTGTGGAAGTTTCCTCTTAGTTTTGTTTAGGTATCTCATTGACACTTACCATCCTTCCTCAGACAGCAGCTCCTGCTGCATTTCTGGCCAGTGCTTTCAGAATAATACCTCAAGAACTGAGCGCCCATCTTCTGAGACTCCTCCAGGTCGACTAGGAGGCCCGGGTAGCGACGGATCCAGCAGTCCCTGTAAAAAACAGTGGGCGAGCAGAGGGCGTCTGAAGTCCACCCCATGCTTAGGAGCAAGATCAGGTCTGCTGCCACCACCGCCACATGCATTTCCCCGGTAAGGAGGTTCGGCAGGAAGTCTGACGTCCAGGCAGAAGCTGGAGCTGACCATCAGGGGTTAGGGCGGTTTCTGGACTTCGGGGCTGTTGCTAAGGAACAGCTTCCTTGGAACTCTTCTGGAGGGTCACGTTCGAGAAAAACGAGGCTGTTCTTTGACTGCATATTGATTTTTCTTTCGTTTCTTCCCAGTTGAATCCCAGGTGAACAGTGGATGTGCTGGTGTTAAATTCTGAACACTTTTCAGGCCATTTCAATACTTTGTCCTTTAGCCCCTTAAAGACGTGAGTTCTCTCCTCTCTTTTTCTCCTTTCTCTGAAAGTGAATCACCACAAACACCTTTTACTAAGTAAATATAAAGGCAAGTGGAAAGCCTAGCCAAGGGTCTTTCTGAGGACAACAATAGTTTAGTCATTTGACGTCAGATAAAGGAGGGATCCATTTCACCAGAAACAAGACATCATTTTGTAAGGAACTTGTGTGTCTACAGACTTCCCCCCTCCCCAATTATCTCCTATTTCCCTGGTATAAAATTTTTGTTTTCATTAAAAAAAAAAAAAAAAAAAAAAAGGAAGAAAGAAACCTTGAAAGTACATGAAAGCTGAAAATAAAATTAAAGTTTTTAATTTTGCTGTGATTTTGAAACTAGGGCATTTTTTTTGTTTTTTGTTTTTTTTTTGTGCCAAGGCCAGACAAAAGCTTTCCTAAAGGAAGACTGCAAAGATTCTGCAAAATGAACAGCCTCATAATTTAGATAGGATACAACACCCATTAAGGTGAATATTGTCCAACCAAAAATAAAAGTTGTAATTCACAATGAAGATTGTGAAGACGTTCAAGTTGGGGGTTGTCTGATCTGCTTTCTGATATTCACGTTTGGAAGTTATAAAGTAGCCTTCTTGGTGAAGCCGATTCATAAAGATACAGCGTCTCCGATTGAAGCAGAGAGGTTGCAAAGAATGTGCATTAGGAAAATGGTAAAGTGTTTTTAAATTTATAAATATTAGTAAAATTACTTCCATGGCAATGCTAAACATTGAAGATAGTGAAAATAGCCTCTTACTTTCATAAAGGCTGTATGTTTTATGTCCCATGATATTCAAGATGACATTAGTTCAAAGCATAAAACTGTTGCTTTTTTTGTATCCATTTTACACAGAGCATCAGTGGTAATCTGCTTGAGCCTAAAGAACTACTCCTTTTTTATTCAAGTAAACTTTTCCTATCCTGGGATCTATATTTCTTCCCTACTTTTTTTGTACAATGACTCAATTCGCTGGCTTGACACAAAAATGTCAACATTCTTTGAACTTTCATCTCACCACCTGTTTCCTAATAATAGCCTATCACATCTTTAGAGTTTTAGAAACGTAAATATTAATAATTATTCAAAAGACTGAATAACTTTAAAAACAAAACATTGGTCCTAGCTGGTTTGGTTTAGTGGCCAGAGCATCAGCCTGCAGACAGAAGGGTCTCAGGTTCGATTCCGGTCAAGGGCACATTCCTCAGTTGCATGCTTGATCCCCAGCCTTGGCTGGGGCTCCTGTGTCTTTCTTTCTGTCTCTCCTCCTCCCTTTCACTCTTTCTAAAAAACCAATAGAAAAATATCCTAGGGTGAGGATGAACAACAACAACAACAACAACAACAACAAAAAAACCATTTACTTTCTTCCAAGCAATAATTACATTATTAACTCCTAACCTGCATAAGCCACATAAAACAGACTAAACATGACATTTGCTTTATTCTAATGAATTCATAGAAAGCAAGTTTCAGTAGCTTTCCTGTAAACAATCTAACTGATCCATCCGTTCCACAAGGAGAGAGAAGACAAGCTCCCTAATGGCAAAGCAAGGAGCAGATGAACAAAAAAAGTACCCCTGTTTTTTTTTTTTTTTTATGAGCGTGCATAATTCTGTTTAGTTCATGCTATTCTAATTAGTTCATGCCCTGGGAACATAAACCAGAAAGACTACTTTCTAACCTCATAACCTCCGCATCTTTCATCACATCAAATGTGGTTCCTTTTGTGTGATATAATTCCTTAACGTTCTCATGTTTCCTGCAGGGAAAATGGAACAATCCACAATTGTCCAATCCTTTTGCTATTGAATGATGTTCAAGTGAAGGTCAAAGTTGCACTTTGGAAGGGGACAGGGATAGTGGGGTGGGAAGAGGACATACGTAATACCTTCAGCAATAACTTTTTTTTTTTTTTAATCTACAAATTCCAATGTAAAAGCATGCTTCACAATTTTGTAAACATTCTTTTGGTGACTGCATAAATATTGAGTCTTGGAATGAGTAACTTCTTAAAGCCAAGCATTTTGAAAAGGGGAGCTGGAGCATGGACTGCAGGGCACAGGGGGGTGGGGGGGCGGTTTACACAAGGGCACAGAGATGGGGCCCAGCCAAGTCTAGTCTGAAACGTGCCCGTATGAGATGAGATTGCAGAAACCAGAAAGCAGCTACAACTCTGAATAAAACATTGCAAAAGAGCTTTGAAATATCCAGGGTCTTTGCACTATTGCCATGTGGTGATATATTGTACTTATTTCCAAGTGGGTACTCTTGAGAGAGATTCAAAAATTAGACTTCTGCCCTAACAGCCACTCATCTCTCCCCAGCGCCTGGTTCAATAGCTCTGGTGTGGGAAGCAGAGTTCTTATTTTTATAAGTATGTGCCCCAGGTGATTTCCTAAGATGTCTGAAAAGCACACTGATATAGGTGATTGAAATAAAAGGAAATTTTGTCTCTGTGTAGATGTTCAACCTAGTTTATATAGAGCCATTTTACTAGTAAGAACTGTGGTATACTTTAAATTGCTCCAGATGCTTCAAGAAAGGAAAAGTTGACTTTGCTTGTTAAAACAAATTAAAAAGTTGTCCTAGCCCTAGCTGGTTTGGCTTAGTGGATAGAACATCGGCCTGCGGACCCAAGGGTCCTGGGTTCGATTCCTGTAAAGGGCATATACTTCAGTTGCAGTCTCCTCCCTGGCCAGGGTCCTGGTCAGAGCAAGTGCAGGAGGCAACCAATTGATGTATTTCTGTCACATCGATATTTCTCTCTGTCTTTCCCTCTCTCTTCCACTCTCTCTAAAATACAATGGAAAAATATTCTCAAGTGAGGATAAAAAATTTTTTTCTAGGAATATTGGAGGGACTGAAATATAAAGTTAATTTTTAAGTGGTAGTGAAGTAATAGCACAGGTTTACTAAATTCAAAAGACGTTTGAAAAACAGTCAATATTTCATCCTTATTTAAAAAGATGCTAATTGCATATTTATTAACCGTTTTCATTTCATCACTTGATAAAATTGATGCAAATTATTTTATTTTATTTATTTATTTTTTAAATAAATCTTTATTGCTCAGATTATTACACTTGTTTCTCCTCTCCCCCGCCCCCCCTGCCCACCATAGCTCCCTTCCACCAGGTTCCTGCCACACCCTCTGTCCTTACCTCCCTCCCTTCCCACCATTGTTCTCATCCATAGGCTATACGATTTTATTCCAGTCTCTTTCGGCACCCCCACACCCCTTTCCCCTTGATAATTATCAATCCACTCCCTTTCTTTGTCCCTGATTCTATTATATTCACCAGTTTATTCTGGTCTTCAGATTTTGTTGTTGTTGTTGTTGCTGTTGTTGCCAATGCAAAAACTAAACCACATACATGTTATTTTCAAAACTTGAATGTCAAGAGCAAAACTCTGGCTATTAAATAATAACAACAATGCCAATGCAAAACAACAAAATGAGAAATCAGAATTGGACAGATTAATATTTTTAGCTACTAAATGAGTCTCTTTTGTTGCTGATGTAGATTTACTCAGAGTCCTTGGACTTGCTGCACAAGACTTTGCAGAAGATGGAAGCTAACAGATGCTAGCATGAGCAGGAACATGATTAAAGAAGTAGCTTCCACTTCAGTCTTTAATTTCTTCAGATGACTCCATGTTGGCACCTCAGTCCCTTGCATAGCCTTCAGTTTTCTTCTATTTTGCTATCGTCTGGGCAACTCTCAGTCCTTTTGGGTGAAGGGACACAGGAGCTTCTCTGAGTCCATTGTGATGACGGACATAACACTCTGGTACCCAAACTGGCTGCATTGTTCCTTCTTTCCTTTCATTTTGAACCCAGGGTTCGATCCCACAACACTCCAGGCCTGGCTGCTCTGGGTCTGGATGCTGCTCCAGGCCTGGTTGCTCCAGGCCTGGCTGCTCCGGGCCTGGGTGCTGCCAATGCAAATTATTTTAAAGAAATAGGGTCTGAGAAATATAAATATCATTAATTTTCTTAAAGTGTTTTGCTTTTATTAAATTGCTACATAATCATTTAAAATAACCAAACCATATAGAAAAATATAAAAAGAAATAAAAACTACTCAAGATCTTATAATCTTAACATTTTGAAAAATCCTTCTAGACATCTCTAAAAAAACGGATGCATTTACACCATTTTGCATGAATGGATTAGAACCTGATTTAGAACCTGAATTTTGTGTGTGTGTTTTTTAATCCCCACATGGGATATGTTTTTTACTGATTTTTAAAGAGGGAGAGAGAGAAAAACATTAATGTGAGAAAGAAGCATTCATTGGTTGCCTCCTGTATGCGCCCAACTCAGGATTGAACCCACAACCTAGATATCTTCTCTGACTGGGATTTGAACCCACAATCTTTTGGTATATGGCCAACTGAGCCACCCGGCCAGTGCTAGGTAGGACCTGTTTGTTTGCTTTTTAAATACAGTATCAATTTATATTTTTCAGTGTCTCTAAAGGAAGATGTCTATATCAAAAGTTGTAATAGCTCTATGATATTTCATTCTCTGTATGTGTGAAAATTAGCTCTGCACCTCAGCTTCCTCAGCTCTGAAAGAGTATAAAAGTAGTATTGCAGTCTATGTAAAGCCCAACAGTGCCTAGCACTATTATATGTAACTAGAGAACCAGCACACGAAATTGTACCCCCCCCCATGATGCTTGCTACCACTCACTGCTGGATATTCATTGCCACTCAGTGCCTGCCACTGCTCAGCAGTCCCCAGTCCCACCCTGCTGCCACTCTCCCCAATTCACCGTGGTTCCCCATTTGCCATGCTGTGATTGGGGAGGTACCAGGAGATGGTCAATCATGACGACTGGTCGAGGTGTCATTCCGGTCATTACTCTTATTATATAGGATAACATTCAGTAAATGTTAGCAGCAATTATTATACATTGTTTTCCAATTTTTTTTATTGCTAAAGCAAAATTAAGACAAACATCTTGCCGAAACCGGTTGGGCTCAGTGGATAGAGCATCAGCCTGTGGACTGAAAGGTCCCAGGTTCGATTCCGGTCAAGGGCATGTTCTTTGGTTGTGGGTATATCTCCAAGTAGGGGGTGTGCAAGAGGCAGCTGATTGATGACTCTCTCATGGATGTTTCTAACTCTCTATCCCTCTCTGTAAAAAATCAATAAAATATATTAAAAAAAAGATAAACATCTTGTACTTACATTCCCCCCCCCCCTTCTAGATTAAAAGGCATATTTTCCATAAATTCTTTTCCTTTTTTTTTCTTTTAATTATGCATCCCAGTGGCATTTTTTTATTTTTATTTTTTATTTTATTGATTTTGTACAGAGAGGAAGGGAGAGAGATAGAAAGTTAGAAACATCGATGAGAGAGTCATCGATCAGCTGCCTCTTGCACACCCCCCCACTGGGGATATGCCCGCAACCAAGGTACATGCCCTTGACCGGAATCGAACCAGGGACCTTTCAGTCCCCAAGCCGACACTCTATCCACTGAGCCAAACCGGTCCCAGCTATTTTCCATAAATTCTTAAAGAACTAGCCTAACTCTGTTTGACCATTATTTTAGTCTCCTGTACTTAAAGATGGTGATATACAGGGCTCGAAGTGAATCATAGCTACCACAAAGGCCCGTCTTTGTTATTCAACGATCGGTCAATAACAGATCTATAAAATTAGGCCTTCAGGTATATATAAGCAATACTTTTATGAAGCTTAGAAATAATATTTTACAACCTTTGTAAATAAGAGAGTTTATATTGGTCTTCTAGTTTAACAGAAAATGTACTGTGTGCTTTTAAAAAGACTCAAATCTTTTAAGATGCTTCCAGTCCTAAATGATGTTATCCTGTCGGGGCCAAGAAGCTTACAGGATCAGTGCCCAGTGTTGTCAAACTAACACCCCAGATTCCCTGTCAGAGTTGATCTTGCTCTGATAATATTACCAGTGCACGATTTGCTTTCTAAAGCACATCATTCTTTGACTGTGACTTTTTTTTTTTTTTTTTTTTGGTCTGTTTTTCAAAGGCAAGAAAATACCAGTCGGAGGCATATCTATGACGGCTGGGAAACAAAAGTGCCATTGGTGAAAGATTCTAAAGGGGCTGAAGAGAGACTAAGAGCCTGTTCTGGGCTGGTTACTGAACCTGGCATTGTCGCTGATGGAGGCACAAACACATCCCAGGTCCAAGTCTCTTTGATGCAGGGGCACCTCCCGGCACAAGGTCCGCAGCTACAGGCCTGGTTCTGAGCATGACACTGTATCTCCCCAACGCGGTTGCTAAATTCATGGTCACTCACCCCCCAAGAACCTGAGAATGTCTCCCCTGCACCCTCATTGAGGACAAGCACGAAAGGTCCATGTGAGAATGACGTTTTATTAGGGATGATAAAGGCCAGGGGAAACAAGGTGAAAAGCTAGACGTTTTTTTTCACGGAATCTCAGAGGCAAGTCATAAATCCATCTTTATTTCCTTCGCCTTTTCCAGGGAGGCCAGAATCTACTCAATTTTTTTTTCTATGCCTTTAAAATTTTAGTTGCTTATTCATGGTGGATTTTAAAGAAAATAATGGGTGACATCACCTTACTGTGAAGCAGCTAAGTTACATAGAGAGAGAAACACAAATGGAACCAAACAATGTGTGGAGAGAATTTCTTATTTTACAGATAGGACTTTCTTCTCTGGTTTTTAACTTCCCCCATCCTAAGTTAAAGTGTTAATCAGCATTGGAGGTATCCTCTGATTGAAACAGGGGAACTGTACTTATTAAGAAGGCGTTATTTAACAACTTGTCATTCAAGAAGAATGCTGAAGCTTGTAATAATAAAAAAGATGACCAAACACATAAAAAAGAAAGAAAGAAAAAAGAAAAACACATATTCTCCCCAAATACGGACTGTTATGGTTGTTTCTCAAATCTTGGTGTGGGAAAGTTTTATAAGAGTGAACCACCCCTCCTCCCTCCCAATCCTGTCCCTCCCCAGGATTAATTCATATCTCATGGCAACACGAGGTCCTTTGTATTATTCGGGGGTGAGCTTTCTATTTGCAATGTGAGGGAAGACGAGGAAGAAGTGGTCCTACCTTAAGTAGTTCGTGGTGTGTGAGGGTAGAGGTGTGGGGGAGGGGAAGAAAGGATAACCGGGTGGCAAGAAAAGACGCCTTTTAGGCCAACAGGAGCAAAAGTGGCGGGGCTTTCTGCCCAAAGAGATCATTTCCTAATGGCTAGTCCAACAAGCCGAAATAGGAAAAGCAATGGCTTTCCTATATGTTAGAAAGTACTTTTAAAAGAAGGCACGAGGTCTAACTTTAGTTGAGCTGTACTTCTTTCTTTTAATAGCACAAATCGGATAACGGCCGAAACCGGTTTGGCTCAGCGGTAAAGCGTTGGTCTGCGGACTGAAAGGTCCCAGGTTCGATTCTGGCCAAGGGCATGTACATAGGTTGCAGAGCACATCCCCGGTGGGGTGTGTGTGCAAGAGGCAGCTGGTTGATATTTCTCTGTCATCGATGTTTCTAGCTCTCTATCTCTCTCCCTTCCTCTCTGTAAGAAAATCAATAAAACATATTTACCCCTCCCTCCCCCCCCCAAAAAAAACAAATCGGATAACGGGCCGTGGCCGCAGCAGCAGCAGCAGCAAATACAAGCTCTCCTGCTTCCCAGGCCTTTATATCGGGTGCACCCCATGCTCCGAGCCCCGCAGAACCTGCTGCCAGCTGGCCGGACTTTCTGCAAGATGGCTCCTCCACAATGACAAGCCCAAGGCTCCGCTGTGGGTGCCACCTACGCGACCCGACCAGAGGCGGCCAGTGAGCCTCAGCCCCCTGGACACGGACACGAAGCGGGGCTGGGCCCGAGGGGCGAACCCACAGGTGAGGCTTTGCTGACTCCCTGGACCCGGGACTTCCTTCACCCCACTCCTCCCAGGCCAGTCCCTTCGGCTTTTCGTCTTGCCCTGGAAGAGAAAGCAGCCTGGCCGCATCTCCTCTCCCGTCCCCGGGCGAGCACCGCCGCAGACCCCGCAGCTGCAGAGCCGCCGCGCCCGGCCAGCGGGGGAGGCCGCGGGGCCGCGCCTCCCGCCTCCCGCGCCGCCGCCGAGTCCGGGTCCGAGGCCGCAGCCGCCGGCGCTCCCGGGGAGCCGGAGCCGGAGCCCGCGCGCGGGTGTGCGGGCCGCCGGGGTCCTGCGGGCGGAAGTGCGGCGGCGGCGTGGGCGGAGGCGCGGGCCGGGCCCGGGTCCCCTCCCGGCTGACGCGGCCCGGGACGGCCCCCGCGGGGACGGCCGCCTCCCCGCGCCCGGCGCGCGCCCGCCGGCCCTTTCCTGGCGCTGAGCGCGCCCCGGAGGACGGGGTCGCCGCTCGGGGGCAGCGCGACTGAGCCCCGCGCCCGGGCCCAGGAGGAGGGGCTGCCTCGCCACCCAGATCAGCCGGGCGAGCGCAGGCGGGAGCAGCGGCCCTAGGCGGGCCTCCGCCGCCGCCTCCTCCTCCTCCTCCCCCCCATTCCTCCTCTGGCGCCAGCCCCTGGCGCGCCCAGCCGGAACCCGGCGAGCGCGGGGCGGAGGAGAGGCGAGCGCGCAGAGCTGGCGGGCCCCGCCGCGGCCCCCGCGGCCATGTCGGCCGAGGAGATGGTGCAGATCCGCCTGGAGGACCGCTGCTACCCGGTGAGCAAGAGGAAGCTCATCGAGCAGAGCGACTACTTCCGCGCGCTCTACCGCTCCGGCATGCGCGAGGCCCTGCGCGCCGAGGCGGGCGGCCCCGAGGTGCAGCAGCTGCGCGGCCTGAGCGCGCCGGGCCTGCGCCTGGTGCTGGACTTCATCAACGCCGGCGGCGCCCGCGAGGGCTGCTGGCTGCTGGGCCCGCGGGGGGACCAGGGCGGCGGCGGCGGCGGCGGCGGCGGCGGCGGCGCGGCCGACGAGGAGGACCTGGACGAGGCGGGCCTGCTGTCCGAGCTGGTGGAGGCGGCCTCCTTCCTGCAGGTCACGTCGCTGCTGCAGCTGCTGCTGTCCCAGGTGCGGCTCACCAACTGCCTGGAGCTGTACCGCCTGGCGCAGGTGTACGGGCTGCCCGACCTGCAGGAGGCCTGCCTGCGCTTCATGGTGGTCCACTTCCACGAGGTGCTGTGCAAGCCCCAGTTCCACCTCCTGGGCTCCCCCGCGCAGGCCCCCGGGGACGTCAGCCTGAAGCAGAGGCTGAGGGAGGCCCGGCTGACGGGGACGCCCGTCCTCGTGGCCCTGGGGGATTTCTTGGGGGGGCCCTTGGCCCCGCACCCCTACCAGGGGGAGCCTCCGTCCATGCTCAGGTACGAGGAGATGACGGAGCGTTGGTTCCCGCTGGCCAACAACCTTCCTCCCGACCTGGTCAACGTCCGGGGCTACGGGTCTGCCATCCTGGACAACTACCTCTTCATCGTGGGCGGCTACAGGATCACCAGCCAGGAGATCTCCGCCGCGCACTCCTACAACCCCAGCACCAACGAGTGGCTCCAGGTGGCCTCCATGAACCAGAAGAGGTAAGCTCCCACCCAGCAGGGCCCTGCTGCTTCCCCCTCTATTCCCTGAGTATTTGCTGGGCGGTCACAGGAGGCTGTGCTGAGGTGGGAGGTGGATTCTGGCAAAGCTCCCAAGGAACTGAGACCTTTAAAGGAAGAAAAGGCCCCAAGGAAGTCCACAGGCTGAGTGGTTTCCTTGCAGGTATTGTGTCTGTAGGCCAGTTGTGTTCTTGGACTCGATCCCAGTAGGGAATAACATGCTGTAGCTTCCTAAGATGCTTACAACGGTCCTTTAATTTTGCTTTTATTTTTTACCTTTTATTTTATTTTATTTTTTAGGCTCTGATCATGGTGACACATTGGGCAGTAACCCATAACGCTGACTTTGGGGGATTGCCTGTTGATGTTGTCAGTGACTTTTGAGCCTCCCACACTGGAGCACCAATCTATGATCAGGAGATGATATTTGGGATTGTATCACTATTACCTGTATAGGACTGTCTTTCTTATTTTGTATCCTCTCTTTGGCATCTCACCTCCTCCCCAGATTGCCATCGTTATGGGCCCAAAGCTTGAGTCTGGAAGTGGTCGCCTACCCTATTAGAATATTCCCATCCACCCCAACCTTCTCCCTTATCATCCTGCAAAACCCTCCCAATATGAACTTGGGTGATTTGGACAAAGGAAGAGAAAAGGTGGGAGGGTAGAGAAAGGAGTCAGGAAAGGAATAGGAAAACAGATACAGGAAGAGGTGGTAGGAAATAAAGATGGTAGGGCCCAAGATGACCCAGAGCCATTCAGAAGTGGGGGAAGAATCAATGGAACCCAAGAAAGGACAAGAACACAAGAATACCCTTTCTTCTGGTCCACCTGTATCCATCTCCGGTGCCCCCATGTTTCCTGCCCTGATTTGTGGAGCAAGGAGTCAGGGGACTCCCCCCTTGTCAAAGGAAGTCTGAACAGGGATGGGGAAGACATTACACGTGTTTACTTCACTTGAGAGGTGGGCCAGGCCATGGGGAACACTAGCTTTATTTATACTCTAATATAAAGTTTGTTTTGGTAAATGTTCCTTCCTTTTCAATATATTTTATTGTTTTTTTTTTTACAGAGAGGAAGAGAGAGAGGGATAGAGAGAAACATCGATGAGAGAGAATCATCAATCAGCTGCCTACTGGGGATGTGCCGCAACCAAGGTACACGCCCTTGGCTGGAATCGAACCTGGGACCCTTCAGTTCCCAGGCCGACGCTCTATCCACTGAGCCAAACCAGTTTTGGCAGTGTTCCTTTTTCTAATGATTAAAAATACTATGTAGTTATTCTAGAAAGTTGGAGAAAGGAAAATAGTAAAGATGCAGAAAGGCTATCACTGCTACTCCCGCCTTCCTAGAGGCAACCGCCATCTACATACAGGTTAGCATATTTTCTTCCAGCCCCTTTTTAGTGCATTATTTATACCGCTAAGATGACTTCATATTTAAAATTTGATGTCAGGAATATTATTACTATTATTTCTTTAAAAGATATTTTTATTGGTTTCAGAGAGGAAGGGAGAGGAAGAGAGAGAGAGAAACATCAACGATGAGGGAGGATCATTGATTGGCTATCTCCTATATGCCCCCATTAGGTATAGAGTCGGGAACCTGGGCATGTGCTCTGACCAGGAATTGAACCGTGACCTCCTGGTTCATAGGTCAGTGCTCAACCACTGAGCCACTCCAGTTGGACAAGAATATTATTTTTAAACAAATTCTAGTAGCTTTACTTAAAGCAACAAAGAAACGTTCAGTGGTTATGAGTGATGCTCAGATTAGGGGTGTAAGGCCCAGCAGGTTGTCTGTCATCTTGACACTCGTGTCTTCTGCGTGTCAACTGGTGCTCAGCACGTCTCCATAGCCCACAACTCTCTCACTAAACCTCATGAAATTCTTTTCTTTTTTTAAATTTTTAAAAAAATATATTTTATTGATTTTACACAGAGAGGAATTGAGAGGGACAGAGAGTTAGAAATGTCGATGAGAGAGAAACATCGACCAGCCACCTCTTGCACACCCCCCACAGAGGATGTGCCTTCAACCAAGGTACATGCCCTTGACCGGAATCGAACCCAGGACCTTTCGGTCTGCAGGCCGACGCTCTATCCACTGAGCCAAATCGGTCCCGGTGATGAAATTCTTTTCTTTCTTGACAAATCTTTGGTAGTCACCAAGGAATATTCTTTCTGTCCTCTTTGGAAAAAAAAAAAAAAGTATTTGAGTAATGCCTGAATTCATGCTTAGAAAAATTGCAAAGGATATGAAAAATTATAGAGTAAAATATGTCTATCTATAGACATATATTTTAATACACATTAATACTTATAAATTATAAATGTACTAGTGGCTCAGTGCACGAAGATTCATGCAAGAATGGCCCTTCGGTCCCCTGGCTGCCGGCACTGCCTTCGCTGAGGCCGGAGCTGCCTTTCCGCATTCCCACGCTGCCCGGAGGCCCGGAGCGGCTGGGGCGGTGCAGAACGCCTGTGTCATTGCCATGTTGACAACACAAGCGCCCCACCCCCAGCCACTCGGCGTCTGTGTGTGCAAGATAATCTGCTTTCTTTGTTGGATTAATTTGTATATTCCTGATTTGTGGGTGAGCGTCGCGAAGGTATGGTCAATTTGCATCTTTCTCTTTTATTAGTGTAGTTTTTCATATAAATACGTTGATAGTGGTTAATAGGGGAAAATGATATACATGAGGGGTGTACATATAACATACATGTATATTTTTACTCAAATTGATTAAGTTATGCTGATTATTATAGCACTTGATGTTTCCACTTAACATTACTGTGGCTGACAGTTTTTTCTACATCAAAAAACAGACACCCCCTCCCCCCCCCAGCCATGTTAATGGCTATGTAGTATTTCAGCCCGTGGATGTACCATAATGTAATTAATCTCTCCCTTATTCATGAGCATTTAGATCACTTCCATTTGCCATTATAAACAATGCTATATTGAACATCTAGGCATATGTGAGTTTCTATATGGCAAATTCCTGGAAACCTGGTGTGAATGTCTCTGATGGAGAGATTATTCTTTTCATACGATTATCAGCCATTTGTATACTTTTGTAAGTGGCCTTTGCTAATTTTTTTTTTAAATTGGCTTATCTTTTTCATATATATTTTGTTATATTTATATATGTAGATATTAGTCTCTTGTCTTTTATCATAAGGTTCACAAATGCCTGAAGTGACCATGGATGTAAAGTCACTGAGTAGAGGTGGGAGTTATGATAAACCAGAGAGCTGCTGCCCCACCACAAGAGGGCTCCACCTTTCAACCACAGCTGGCTACAGTATTGCCAAATGGAAGTGAGAAATGGTGTTGCCAGATGTGTAAATATCCTGACTTTTTAAAATGTTGGCAGCTTACTCATTTAAAAAACAAATAAGTCAACAATAACAAGAAAAACTTTGCAGACCCAACCAAGTGCAGGCTCTCGTTTTGGGCTTAAAGTTTTTAGTGTATTCTTTTCTTTTTAAAAAATACATTTTTATTAATTTCAGAGAGGAAAGGAGGAGAGAGAGATAGAAACATCAGTGACGAGAGAAAATCATTGATTGGCTGCCTCCTGCACATCCCCTCCTGGGGATCAAGCCCAAAACATGTGGCCTTGACTGGAATTGAACCTGGGACCCTTCAGTCCACAGGCCGACACTGTATCCACTCAGCCAAACCAGCCAGGGCTATAGTACATTCTTTTTTAATATATATTTTATTGAGTTTTTACAGAGAGGAAGAGAGAGGGATAGAGAGTTAGAAACATCGATGAGAGAGAATCATTGATCAGCTGCCTGCATCACATCCCCTACTGGGGATGTGCTCGCAACCAAGGTACATGCCCTTGACCGGAATCGAACCCGGGATCTTTGAGTCCTCAAGCCGACGCTCTATCCACTGAGCCAAACCAGTTTCGGCTACATTCTTATATAAAGATATTTAAAATGTTTTGCAGTAAAATTTGTTATGTGTTCTTTGAGCTTTCTATCTTATGTACAAACTAAAAATATATAAATATTCATCTATCTCATGATCTATTTTTTTATTTTGCCTTTTTACACTTAGATCTGAATCTGTTTGGGATTTATTTTTATTTAAGGTATAGTGTGAGGTTTTAACAAGTTTTATAAATATCCCAGAGGCCTTAATCCTTCACACTATGATTTGCAAAACCAGTTGTCATATTCTAATGTTCTTTTTTTTTTTTAAATATATTTTATTGATTTTGTACAGAGAGGAAGGGAGAGATAATTAGAAACATCGATGAGAGAGAGTCATCGATCAGCTGCCTCTTGCACACCCCCACTGGGGATATGCCCGCAACCAAGGCACATGCCCCCCCGACTGGAATCAAACCCGGGACCCTTCAGTCCCCAAGCCGATGCTCTATCCATTGAGCCAAACCTGTCCCGGCTAATGTTCTTGTTTTTAAATCGGCAGATCTGCTGTTCCTGCATCAATAACACATTTTTAAAATTATGGTAGTTTGGTAATCTATGGTGTGGGCAAAAAATAGGTTTGTAGTTGTGAGTGACATTCTTTTGCGTTAAGAAAGCTATTATAATAATCATAACCAGCATATCTTTTTCCATACAAATAACTGTAAACCTACTTTTGTCCACCCTCTCCTTATCTTATTTTTTGTCTAGTATGACAAAGCCTCCTTTGTTCTGTTTTGTTTTACTTTAATTCTCTTGGCTGCTTCTTGCATATCTTCTTCAGATAAGCTTTGGAGTCTGCTTGTCAAGTCCTGTTGGGGTTTTGATTAGGATTATGTAGCATTAGATTAATTTGGAGGAGGATTCACAGCTTTATAATATTTTTCCAGCTTGAAAAATGGTTTCTTTGTCCAGGAATTATTTAGGTCTTTTGGTCCTTCATGAAAAGTTTCTTTTATTATATTTGTAGCATCTGTATTTTTCCTACAGAGATACTTTTTTAAGTGATATTTTCTAGTTGGTTATGGATGC